TACACTCAACAATCCTTTTCTTTATTAATTTTTTGTTTCATTTCAATATGTCTGTCAGGGTTTGTTTTTTTTGTTTTTATTTTAAATTAAAATCTTGACACACTTATAAAAGACAGCATCTGCATAGAGTTGTCATCTTAAAGATCCATGAAGAGAGGAAGGGCGAGGCGGGGGTATCGAGGGGGGGTCAGAGGGTAGGAGGGGGGATACTGGCACGTCACATGAACTCAACAGAACAGCCAACAGCAGTACGAGAGAGGGGGCAGGAGGGGCAGGAGGGCAGCGGGGAGGAGGGACAGATCGCTTTACATTACGCTACACACACATACACACAAAAAAAACGGGACACGAGTTGCATTTCCGGTCAAAGTTGCGTGCAAAGAGCGACGTCACTGTCCTCTTTCTGCGATTTTTTACTGTGCGGACTTTTTTTTTCTGATCTCCGTCTCTTCTCGGCCCCCTGCTGCCCAGCATCAGCATCAGCATTAGCATCAGCATCAGCATTAGCATCAGCATCAGCATCAGCATCAGCATTAGCATCAGCATTAGCATCAGCATCAGCCGCCATATCTAATGATGATAAAACTGAAACAGTGGCAGATCCCCCCAGATCTGCCGGACCCTCATGGATCCGCCCGGACCGTGGTGTCTGGACGGCGGGGTTCCGGTCGGAGTTCCTGCCGGAGAGCGTCGCCCGTCGGCCCGTGGCCTCTGCATGACCAGGTCAGCCCTTGTTCTCTAATATTGCACTCTTTGTTACGAAAGGCCTGTGAGGCTGGAGTCCGGGCCTAGAATTGGGTCGCGACTCCGGCCGAACCTCAGACCTCGAAGCCGCCAAATGGCCTGAAAAGAACTGAACCGGTTCACTGGGAACAAAGCTAGTTTACGCTGAGGTTAGCTAACTTTTACTAACTTTACTGAACTCAGCTAGATACTTAGCTTTAGTTGTAGCCTTACTTAGCTAGCTAGCTTCTGATTCCCTTTGACGACTTCGAGAAAGCAGAGCTACGATCTCCTCCAGGAACTCCTCTGGGAAAGTTGGGTAGCAGGAAGACTGTGGTGAGGTCTGAAGGACTAACCCAGACTTAAATCTAGTTTTAGTCAGAGACGGTTTGGTTGGTGAGAGCATGAAGATCAGCAAGAAAGTCCCTTTGCTCCATCCGGTGGATGTATGCTTGTTCTCTAAAGTTGATGCTACCACCACCGATTCTGACTCAGAGTTGCTGATCCCAGTCCAACAGACCGTCTGGAGTCTACAGATATGTCTGGAGTCTACAGACTGCCTGGGCACTTTTGTTTGGATATGGCTATGAACTGGTTGGACTGAGTCGGTTTTAAAGGACTGGCTGCAGGTAAGTGGGAACCAGACAGGAAAAGGTCGGATGTTTGGCGAAATGCGGCGGAGAGACGACGTCGGACAGAGAGGTGGTGACCCAGAACAGGACTCCAGAAGGACCAGGGGCGTGGCCGCTAAGGCCCTGGGGGCGGGGTTTAGTTTCCTAATATGGAGGGAAGCACTTTCATCAGAGGATCCAGTGGGTGGAGCCTCTGGGTTTGGGATTATGGACGCAGGAGCGGCTGTGAGCGGCGACCCACACAGCGAGGCGGAGAACGACGGTGACGGATGCTACACGGCGCCGTCTCTCTGCCGCCGACGGAGAGCGGAGGGGCGGGGCTTAGGACACGAGACATCCGGGAAATAAAAGCAGCGAAAAAGGACAGACATCGAAGTGCTTGTCAACTTTGACGGGAATAAATATCTCAGTAGATTTATACATAAACATGCAAGTCATTTTTTCTCTCTTTGAAGTTATTTACAATAATTACAGAACACAAAGATTCCAGTTTCAGTTTGACAAAATTGCGAGCATTCAATATTCAATATTACTACTATTATTTATGATAACATAACTCCTTTTGTACTTCTTTAAATCATGGAGTCGTGGTAACCTCCCTTTTAAAAGCTTTTCTGTTTCTCACTTTGTGTGAAGCCGTTCACTCTCCTCCTGGGTTTTTGCAAATGTTTTTCTGCATTTTATTTGCCTTTTATGGATAGAATTATAACAACAACAACTATAATAATAATAATGTTATTTATGTGTATTTCTTAATATGGCAGGGACTATGTGGGTGTGGTCTATCTATTTGACCCCTCCCCTAACTCCTCCCACTCAGGAAAAATAAACACTGATACAAACCAAATACTGTCTCGCTTGATGAATAGAGCAAAGAGACGTTTGGATCAAGCTTGAAAAAATCTAATCAGTTCAAAACAAGTCACAACTTTTACTGCAAAAAAAAAAAAAATCAAAGTTTTCATGTAATCAGAGCAGGACGCAGCAGGCTCTGTTTCTGAAAATCATCGCAGAGCGGGTTCTGGCCGGACTGACCCATGTTTACTTCAAAGAAAATGACGACAGCGTTTCACCGCGTGTGGAGAAACGCGGCGGATTGTTTGGTGATCAGCGAGTTGATCTGTGCAGCCCGAACCCGTCAGGATGATCCACTTTCTGCTCTGACAGGAAAACGCCCACAGGAGCAGGAATGCCATGTACACAGTCATACAGACGCAGTATGTTGGTGTAAGATTCACATGAAAATATTCATATATTGTTGTTTATATATTGGTCGCTGCAGTCCGTCGTCACGCCGCGGACAACGCTCGCTGGCGCTTTGTGGAGCTGGAGTATCAAAATGTTTTCATTTCAAACTTTGTTCTGGAAAACATCTGAATTATGCAAACATCTGGATTCACATGCACATCTGCAACAAACTGCATGTTTGCGAACAGATTAGTTTGGATCAATCCAAGGCGGGACGTCAGGTAGATGAGAAAGTTTTCTGCAACCATCCGAGCTCCGATCCTGACTATGTCCTCTTTTGGTTACAATCATTTAGAAATTCCCATCTTCTAAATGTTGCCTGGTGTTCGGCTGAGGAAGGACATTTGCTCAACGGATCTCGGCTCATAATTCAGAATAATAACAGAAAACTGGCCTTTCTGTTAATTATTCTGGAATTAAGTTGAACTTTGACTTTTATTTCTAGAGTTTTCCACAAATTTACACATAAATATACATCATAAATAACAATAATCTATAATTTGAATAATTTCTATTTTGCTCCTGCTGCAGCAGCACATTGATCCGGAGGTGTGAAGACGACTGGTTAACTGTACAGGAAAAACAAAATGACACCAAAACAACAAGAACAAGAGCAGTAATTGAATAGAAGAAGAAAGCACCACCGTTGTCTCCGGTTATGATTATGTGCCATATTTTCCACTAATCAGACTACAAACTAGCATCTAGAGAAAAGGAACTGGAGGCAGACGTTGTTCAGATTGGTTGGATCAACTGATGCAGGGAGAGACCATCATGCAGTGAGGGCTGGTGGTGCGTGGGGGGGATCAGGGCAGGCTTTTCACTTCTAGTGTTGCTTTTTTAAATTGCTGTATCTGTTTGAGGAACCTCTCGGTGTAAACTTCACTTGCTTTGTGCTCTTCGATTCTCGCGGCGGACATTTTGAGAACACGAGTGGGAGGGAGAAGGCTTTGGTTTGAATCAAACAAACAGTGAACGTCGCGTACATTTAGGGCTCTGATCCTCTTAGTTGCAATTTTTTAACATTTTGTGAAAACAGCTGCAACCCGGCGGATGCAGTCTGATGCTTTGCACGATGAAACAAACCCGTACTGCCAGCACACGCTCACAAACACACCGTCTTCACCGAAGACGCAGGGAAACATGCTGCACGCACAACGATGGGTGGAGGAGCAACCGCAGGTCAGCCTACAGGCGATTTCTCAGCAGACAAAGGGTGGAGTAAACAAGCCCAGCAGATAAAGGCAGGGTGAAATCCAGCGAGACGTCCAGACGGACCTGAATGACCGAAGCTGATGGGAGTTTAACCTTTCACACTTAAATAAAACACTCAATTATGTTCCAACGAAACGCGTCTAACAGAAATACTGAAACGCAGATCAATTAGTAACAGGTAATAAGTTGTGGCTAGTAGCTAATGTGCTAATCAAACAGGTCCGATGAGTGGTAAAGTGCACGGTAAGGAGGGCGGGGTGGGGTACAAAAACACCTTCATGCAAACTCCACAACGCTTTGCATGCCTTTTTTATTATTAACGTTATAATTGTTACACACAGCAGGATGGAGGGAAGGTCAGACTCCCAATGCGCGTCGCCATCTTTTTATACAACCAAACGACTACAACACAAGACAACTGGACCGGGAGGGCTGGACTCTCGGGCGAACCGACCCTCTGGATCATTTTGGTGACGTCTTTGTGGTTTGATGTGTTTTCACGGGCCTGATGGATGAAACAGGAACTTTACAGAAAATACAGACACAGAACACAACGTCACTGTCAACAAACTGGCTGGTGCTTTGACGGCATCCTTACACCGTTCATCCACCTCGACCACCAGGACAACCATCAACTGTCCAATAGACCCCTGGCGCTGAGGGAAGGAAAGCGCAGCTAACTTTTAAAAAATCTGATGAATGAGATTACAATGAGATTTTGACTTGCTAAGTCATTAAATCCACTACTTTTATTTACTGTTGGAAACAGCTAAAAACCAACCACAACAGATAAGAAAGGGTCCAATCATTCTGAATTCACAGACGGGCCGTTTGAGAGATTTGTTGGAATTTGCTGCTGGGAGAAGACGGTGACACTTTGGTGAACACAACAGTTTTGGTTTATTGAAGCTAAAGAATAAATTAAATAGACCCCAATCTTCTCCAAACCTGAAACTAGAACATCAAGCGCACCACAGACATCTAAAGCTAACAATGCTAACTTCTACATCTCAAGAAAAAACACGTTTTCCACTAAACAACGACTACTTCCTGGACTCTGAACTGAAGCTTATTGCTCTGGCAGAGTGTGGAGGGATCTGAAGGTGGTTTGTCCTCCAGCGTAGGCCTCAACAGAAGTATGATGACCTCTGCATCACAGAGCCTGAGCGCCTTCCTCCAGAAACCTCAAACCCAACCAGCATCCTGGCAAATCATGAACACCTCACCAAACATTTCCCAACATTTCAGACTATAAAAAGCTCAGTCTGAACTGATTCCTAGCAACTCAGTAGATGCTTTATTAATGGAAGAATCCTTCAGAGTTCAGATAATCTGAGCAAATTTGTCAAATGTGACATTTTGAAAACATGCAGGTAAAGATTTCCATGAGGTGCCATGAGACTGCATCGCTCTGTAAAACTATTTGTTTGGCCATTTCATCCAGTACTGCTACCTTTCAGTAAACCCCAGATTTCAAACACAGTGAAACATTCCTGCAGCATTTATGTTCTTAGTATTGTAAAACCTGGGAATTTGTCCCGGTGAGTTCAACACTGCTAACACCAATAGCTAAGTGAAATTAGCTCGTGGTTCCACATGGTTAGTTTGCATTCTTTTTTTGCAAACGCAGCAAAAAAAAAAAAAAAAAAAACCTGTTTAAACTCCAGGTATTTAATTATTAGATAAAATTTCTTAACTGGAAATATCCTCCAGGTTAAGAAATATTCACTTCCAAATTAATTTGGTTCACAATTACAGACTAATAAAGTACAAAATATTACACATAAGTACTTTTTGTGTTGTAAAATGAAATGTTTTTATAGATATCTTTCCTTTAAGTTAAAATTAGCCAATGATTTGGAAGAATTATTTATTTTTTAGATAAAATCTATGATTAGGTCATGAAATAATTATTATTAATTAATTAGCTAATCCAGTTTAACAAGGATTAGCTTAGCTAGAAACAGCTTTCAGCAGTTTAAAAAGTCATTTTCTTGCTGTGTTGCTTCGAGCCACAAACCCTTCGTTGTATTTTCTGAAAGCTTTTCCACCGTACTGGGCCACCGATGTTTTTCACAGTATCTAGAAAACAGAAGATGAACCTTCAATAAGCTTCTGCACAACCTACACAAACACGAGCTAATTCTACACCATGCAAAGCGGCTCAGACTAACACTACCACTGGCAGTAGCACAACATCCATGGGGTCTGTCTCCATCAGAAGTTAAAACATACATGACATGTTCATGTTGTGACTGAATGTGTGTCACGTTGATCCACCTTCCAGGGAAATCACCCATAGAGAATGTGAACTGGCTGCAGAAGCTGCCGTTCTCCCAGCAGGGGTCGCTGGAGTCATGCAGGCTCCTGCATGAGTGATGCTCCTTCACATTATCTACAGGAATGAAGCCTTCATGTGTGGCAACCGAAACATCACAGCTTTTCCAACACAAACACACCGGAGACACGTCGGGTCACACAAACTCACCGTTAACACAATGTTAAGCAGATACAGCACAGGACACGTCACGCACACACCGGAACAGCAGCACGACAAAAGCAACAGACCGCCATCGAAACGCAAACAGCCGCCGGACCATCGCCACACCCGGATAACTGGTAACTGGTTTCGCCTGTTTGTTGGTTTCGATGCGTTTCGGTTATTTTTTGTTGGCTCCTCGAGAAGAGCAGCTTGAGGATGACGGCCCGGCTTTGAACAGATTCTCATAGGGACAAGTCGTCTTTCTTGTGTCTAAACTGCATAGATTAACTGTCCATCTCCACCCAGCCCTCAGGTATCACCTTGTCGCCCAGCTGGCCAATCAGAATAACCAGGACGGTCAGAGACCCTCTCTCCCAGCTCTTTGGTTGGATCGAGGCAGCAGTCAGGGGAGTCTGACCTCCCCGTCAACGCGGCTGTGAAAACATCTGCTCAGGGTCCAATCGGTCTCCGGTCACCGGCTGGCCGCGGCCAATGAGAGGTGGACCAGCTGACGGCGAGGCGCAACATTAACATCGTTCCCCAACTTCTGCAACCTTCGGGTTTTCTACATCTATGCATTCGCTGTTTGTTTTCTGAAATGAACGTGAGGAACCCGAATGACAGATTTGTCCCTCAGGACTCGAACCCAGCAGCCGCCGCTGTCCTCAGACTCCCGAAAACAAACTAGGAACTTCAAAACATAGAAAACAGCCAAACAAACTACAAAGTAAAAGTTATATTAGAGGTTATCATTTTTACAGGTAGCTAACCCAATACATTTACATAAATAGGTTTATTTTCCCTCTCTTGTTGTGTGGATGAGTCACCTATAATGTGGTGTTGCTGTTTCCTCTTAGCTTTTTGTACCCCACCCAAACCCCTGTGTTTCCTCTGATTGGTGATTGGATTTTCTCTTCCTAGCTGATTGGTTGTCGGTCTTGCATTTGTGTTTCAAGTTTTTTGTGTTGTCGTTGCTGTTTCTTTTCTCTGCTGGCTGTCGGTCAGTCGGTCGGCGTCAGTCATCATGGCAGCAGGTGGAGGAGCGTCTCAGAAGCCCAGCGTGCCGCCGATGGTCGACGCCAGGACCACGCCCAGGATGACGCAGCAGATGATGATCATGATCTTCTTCTGCAGGGCGACAGTAGGAGGCAAATGCATGAATGACGAGGGAAGGACATTCACAACCACTGTTTCATTTGGCTTTTCCTGATGTTTAAAACGTGTAGCGTTGTGTTTTTGTTATTCGTCTGAGGCTGAATTCCCTGCACTTTAATCCGATTCCAGGCTGTTTGTCCACAAAGAGCAGCTCAAAAATGGAACTGCCCACAAACCTGGTCTGGGTTCGGTTGACGGGACCGGACAAAAGCAGCACAGGGCATTCTGGGTAAATACAACTGAAACAAACATGCTAGGCTGGTGTGTCTGAAGAGCCATTGCTCATTATTAAGATTATTGGAAAGGGAAATTTGGACAAAAATTCCATAAAAATCTGTGCGTGAGTTTGGACCTGCGGTTTCTGTCTTCCTCAGGGCGGCTGTGCTGCTGTTTCCACTGGTTGTGCAAATTTCCATTTTTTAAAGACAATTTTCTCACCAAATAATGAGAAAAGCAGAACAGAGTCTGAAAGCATGCTAGCATGGTGAAAGACTGAAATGTTAAAGATTCAAACAACTGCTAAAAACAGCATTTTAAGTTCAGACTGGATAGTTTGAGTCGTCTGATGGGAATGCAATTCATCTGCAGCTGAAATCTCATTCTGGGCATTCATTTCCTCTAAGACACTGAAAGACCAACAGGAAGGTTAGCGTTCCTGGAGTCTGCAGCTGGATTCCCGTCACTTGTCGGTTGAAGAGGCGCCGCTGTATTTGGAAGGGAGCGGATGAGACTGACTGTCGTGCACATGAAGGAGTCTTCAGACGTTTATGGCTGTTGTCATGAAGTGTCTTATGATAAATGGAGGAAGAGCTCCATGGACATATTTTAGATTCCGATTGGACAAATTGGTGCCTTCTAGCATTTTAGCTAGGCTTTTGTTAGCTGTTTGAAAAGGAGCCTCCTGGGTGGACAGCGGGGTCCAGAGCAGAGTTTCATCAGGAGGGAAGCTGGAGCCTTACCTTGCGAGCCTGGCTCTGGTATTTTACGGCCTTCTTGGTGTCGGAGACGGCTCGCTCCACGTAGTCGACAGAGTGTTCTACGTTGTACTCAATTCTGTCAATCATTTCTCCCTGAAACAAACATCTGAATTTAAACGACACCAAGCAACTCCTCTCTGGGATCAGGTATGTTTCTAACACCTGTGGCATACCTGGCTCTCGACCAGCATGGCCATGTCCACAAACATGTCGTGGAGCTCACGGATGCTGTTTTCCAGCTTGATGATCTCGGTGTGTCGGGTCTCGATCTCGTTCAGGGCCTGCTTGGTCATCTGAGAGTCCATTTTGATCTGCGGGACAAGTTTACAGAAGCAGATTCTGTCTTTTCTGCTCCGTCACAGAACGTCAAATAAAAAACCTCAAAGGAGTACCTTTAGAAAAGAAGATAAAATCTAAAATTTGGGAAATAAATTGTAAATTATTAGAAAATTTTTCCGCAGATTAAATCTGCTCGTCTCAGAGAAGAAGAAAAACTATACATCTACAACATTTATTGACTTAAATTTTATATTATGAACATACAGTTAAAAATGTTTGGCTAGTTACTAATTAGCCAAACAAACCGCAAATCCAAAAATCCAGATTTGCCGGAACAGTTTTGTGATTGGTGACAATAAATATATTCATTTAAATTGGGGGATTAGCTAAAACTAGCTTCTTAAAGAGGTGAAATTAGCTACAATTAGCTTCAAAATAAGTTAAAATTGTTACATAAGATGAGAAAGCATTTACAGATGTATTGTCTTGGCTTTAGCTGACAGTTTAGCTGAAGTTAGACTTTGAATCAGCCTAAGCTAGGTTACAGCTAATTGTGCTAGCTGCAGTTAGCTTTCAGAGTAGTAAGGATTATTATCATTATTTATTTATTTATTTTATTGCAAAAACAGAACAAACATAAACAACATATAACACTCTTAATTACAAACAGATACATTTACAACAATAAAGGGCTTTATAGAACATAGAACAATTATTTTACAATATTAACATCCAATCGCTGCTCCAGGGTTTTATTTCCTTAAGGGCATCTAAGATTTGAATGGCTTTGGCATTTGAGCTAATTTTTAAAGATTCTATATAAATATTAATAGAGGATAATAAAATCTTAAGGTTAGGTTTGTGCTCTGAATATTTGGAGGTATGAATATGATATTTACCGTAAATAATAAAAAAGTTAACAACGTATAATAACTTTGTTTTAACAAGTTTACATTTGTCCATCCCAAACAGTTTATCCTTAGCTGTAAAAGTAATGTTTACATTTTTTTGATGAAAATAATTTGTCATATCTCTCCAGAATATTTTGGTGTAATTAAAATCCCAAAAAAGATGAACAAGAGTTTCTTCATTATTTTTACAGAAAGTACACATAGGATCCAAATCCCATTTATATCTTTTTATCAAAAATGTTTTATTGGGATACACACTGAATTATTTTACAAGAAATTTATTTTATTTTATTATTTATTAAGTATTTTTAGGGAGCAACCAAGTCCATTTCCAATTTATATTTTCGAAAATTCTGGACCAATAAAATACACAAGCTGGTGAAAAAACCATATCTCTTAATAGAATATTTCTTAACATTTTGTTGTTTGCTTTCTTACTTATAAAAGGACAATCATAGTCAATATAAATGGAATTTGGATCAAAATAGTAGTAAGGATTATTTCACTGTTAGCTAGAGTTGACTTCCTGATTAGCCTTATTTGTTAAATAGCATTAGCATTTTTAATTTAGACAGAGTTAAATTAAGCTTATGCTTCCACCTACATTTTTTTGGTCTTTGTGATTTTACTATTAACCTGAATTTAAATGTTTCTGTTTCTGTATTAGTTTTCTTCTTTTTTTCAGCATAGTTAAAATTTTCGGGTGATAATATGGTCAGTTGGTAAAGAAACTTTTTGTTTTCTATCTTCACCTGTTAAATGAAAGTCACAGGTTCCAGGTTTAGTTGCCTTCGGTTTATTGGCAGTTGGACTGACTTACCTGTTCAGATCAACTCCACACCTGCTGTAAATCTGAACTACTGACCTGTGCTGATTGGTCACCACACTGTGACATCACAATTCAAGTGGCTTCAATCAGAGTAGCTCAGCTGTCATTTGCAGCCAGGTGTTTTGTTAAATCTCTGCAGTCACGGCCGCTTTTAATTTGAAGAAGAAAACAATATGAACTCCTTCAGAATAAAAGCAGTGGCGGCTTTTCTTCAGCTTTCCTTCCCATGTCCAGAAGCAAAGGCTGCCTTCACTTGATGTTTCAGCGCACCTTGTGGCCGTTCTGCGTCCTGACCACATGATGATGCGTACAGGAAGCAGAAGGCTCCACGTTAAAGTGACTGCAGGTGCGGTGCTTACATCATCGGTGAAGATGGCCAGTTTGCCACTCTCCAACATGTCCTCCAGCTCTTCGTTGGTGGTGGTTCTTCCAGCTGCAGACAGAGCAGAAACAATGAGATTATTCAGAGGAGGAAGCTTTCACATGGCTCAGCATCTTTGATCCTTTAAGGTCCAACCAACAGAAGGAGGAAGATTTATGAAGCAGGATTTCACCAACAGCAACCAGCTTAGAGATAAAATGTTTCTGTTCTGACCGCCTCGGGTCACAGGAGCAAGTTCAGGAGGGGAAGTCGAAATATCGCCAGAATAACTCCAAAATATTTAGAGAGTAAAATCAAAATATTACCAAAATAAAGTTGCAATGTCACGAGAATAAAATCGCAAAATTACAACTTTTGGGTTGCTTGCAGTTCACACAGATCACATAAATGCTGCATAAGTTCAGAAGTGAGAACGGCCAGGCGAGAAAACAAACGCAGATTTCACAAGAAACCAGAACGGAGCGTCAGGGGTTCTGGTTTGTTGCTCCTGGTTTGTTGCTGTCAGTTTGTTGCTCCTGGTTTGTTGCTCCTGGTTTGTTGCTGCCAACTTGTTGCTGCTGGTTGTTTGTTATTGGTTGCGTTTACCATCTGCCTTGTTGCGTGTTGAACTCACTGATCTCCAGCTGCCTCTGGATGCGGTCCTTGCAGCGGTCGCGGTACTTGGACTGCGTGGTGTTGTACTCGGTCATCACCTCCACGAATTTACGCGACAGCGTCGAGTGCTGGAGAGAGACAAGGAGGAAAACTGGTTGAATGTGGATGAACTGGTTTAACTGGGAAGGACTGTAAACCAGAGCTGGAACTTCATGATGTACATCCAGATGCTCACAACTTATTTTTGTTGAACCAATCATTTGGACATTCCTCAATGGCTCTTAATAACTTTGGTCAAATATGATAAACAACCAAAAAAAACAGCATATTAGGGAAATTGTAGATAGAAAAAAGGCAGTAAATATACTTTCAAAAACGCACAAAATTATATTAAAAACTTCGAAATTTCTACTTTTTTTCTTGAATATTTCAGAGACTATCTCAAAATTGTTTTCCTTTGTTCCATCTGCAACGGCCCCAATATGCTGCTGTTGTAGTGGCTGCAGTTCCTTTCTTGTCCACTGGGCGGCAGCGGACATGACGGCTGCAGCCAATCACAGAGTATGAGGAAGTGTCGTTCAGAAGGAACTTTGAGCAGGAATGAATTGCAAAGCTAGAAAATAATGTTTTAGTGATAAAGCTGCTACGTGTGAGGATCTTTGGTGTGAGAAGTGAAAGCTGCCGTCTGGCTGTAACATGCGTGTCAGTTTGAACATGTTTAATCAGCAGCAGTCACATAGTAAATAGGGACTTCTGCTCAGCTCTTCTGATCAAACTTGTATCATTGGCTGACAGACTTTGTAGCTTGACTCGTTCTGGAGAGGTTTACCATCTGGTAACTGGTTCTATTACATGACGGGTTTGAATGTGAGAAGGCGTTGCCACGACCGAGTCTGGACCCGACCCACCTGTGTCTTACGGATCCGGAGATCTGCTGATGATCTGTTGAGACCTTCCTCCTGCTCGATGCTCTGCTCAATTGCTGCAGGAACACAAACATGCAGACGGTGTTATAATGTAAACCGTTTAATTCTGTTTTTCTGCTCCACAGGTTGGTTCGGTTCTGACCCGCCTTCAGGTCATTTATCGTCCACCATCGTCTTCATGCACATTGATTACTCCTCAAACCAAGACAAATGCTGCGTACAACCGAATCATCCCAGATTTCTCTACTACGGTGAGTGAGTCTCCAGTGATTGTAGCGTAAAGTAAAAACCTTTCAGGACAAAAATCACAAGTTGCTTCAACAAACAAAATAACAAACACAAAAAAAGCAAAGACAGATTTAAAAGATGTGCTTTTTCCTTAAACCTTCACTACTTCAACAGTCTAAGACAGTGTTTCCCAACCCTGGTCGTCAAGGCTTGCTGCCCTGCATGTTTTAGGTATTTCTTTGCTTCAGTCCATCTGATTTCAGTTGATGACTGATTAACAGGCGGTTATTGAACTGCAATCTGCTGAATCAGGGACATTAAAGCAAGCAAACCTCGAAAACCAGTAGGACAGTGAGCCTTGAGGACCAGGGTTGGTCTAAGCATCCCGCTAAAGCAAAACAGAGATGGATTGAAGACAGCAAGGTGGAGGTCCTGCAGTGGCCTATTCAAAGCGCAGTCCTGCTCACAGCTGATCCTCTCGAACCTGACAGAGCTGGAGCAGGTTAACAAGAAGACTGGAGGAAAATGCAGCATGTGTAAAAAGATTGTTCAGTTTCAGCTTGAAGTGAAGGAACTGAAATGTGCTCCATCCTCAGCCTCACCTCACCACGACTGCAGCTGCAGCGCTTATTTACCCAGGAGAGCTAGCTTAATTACATCTTCTCACTGAGGATCTCTGTGATCACTGCAGTTTCTAAAGAAACCATCCAGGAGGAAAAGCCTGAACCACATTTGACCAGCAAGACTCTCAGTGAGGTTTTCTGAGCCTTCGATATGCAAATGATGAGAACATTAGAGACGAAGTTTAACAACGTCTTGGATCATTACTTTATTCCACCAGTAGTGGGCACCGCTAACAAAAGTTAGCTGTGCTAGTCCTGAAGCGTTAATCATAAACATTAGTTCTGCTATTGCTAACACACTGCACCAATGCTGTATTTAGCAGAAGCTAATGCTAAAGCGCTAACTTCAAATCACATTTTATCTGCCCTTGAAAAACTACAACCTTTGAGCACCAATTTAAATTTGACAATAATTTTCATGTTGTAAGATATTTATATGTTTATATCAAGCTTTTGTGACAGTTATGTTTCACTGTTGTAAAATCTAAATGTAGATGTTAGGGTTTTTAAAATTATTTTACTCATGAAACAATTTTACAACTTGTTTTTCTTTTCTTTTTTTTTTTATAAATATGAGTTTACCTGATTATTTATCAGTGTTTATAAGGTATTGTAAATAAATCATACAGTTGTAAACCAACAAATTGGGCAGACGCCAGTGAATATTATCATTATTGAATCTCCTCTGGCTTATGAGTCTGACATAATTTAAGAAAACAAAGCGCATAACTCTAAATCTGGTCATTCTCTACAATTATTCTTTAGTTGAGAATTATGTTTCACTGAGAACAGAAATCAGAGGGGGATATCTCCAGCTTAACTGATTATATTTAAGCAAATCTTCTGAAGTAAATTTTGTCTTAACATTTTCACAAATGACAAGGTCTTAGCTGGGCTGTGACATCATTAAGTATGCATTGTCCCAATTGGAAAACTACTGTACTGCGTCCTTTAATCCTCAAGCAAATGACGCCATAATTCACCTCATTACCAACTGTGGCCGAACTGATGCAAAAAAAATAACATAAATATAGGTGCTGTTGTGAATTATCAGTGCCTAACAAGTGCAGATATGAAAAAATATCCATTTAAATATCCAAGACCGTAAGTTTTACTTGACTCTCATTAAAATGTGAATATTGTGTTAATATACCTGGAGGGCGCAAAGAGTTGAGACAGAAAGAAATTACTGTCAACGCTTTATAGAATATCTGAGTTGATAAATATCTCATAAATTGTTAGTGTGTGTGTGTGTGTGTGTGTGTGTGTGTGTGTATGTTTATAGACATATATTCTTGTCTCACTGCATTTTGGGGTCGGGGATCAGTTTACCTGCACTATGGGGACAAACGGTCTCAGGAATCTCCTTAATGAATATAATTACCTGTTTGCAGAAATGCTCAGTGTTCAGCATTTTGGAGTGGTGGGAGTCAATGTCATGTCCTGATATTTACCTCAAAGGATTGTTTGTGTGCGTTTTCTGGCCCGTGGCCTGGCAGCACCCTGCTGGATTCACGATGACTCAGCAGTATCACACCACCGATGGTCTGTGTGTGTGTGTGTGTGTGTGTGTGTGTGTGTGTGTGTGTGTGTGTGTGTGTGTGTGTGTGTGTGTGTGTGTGTGTGTGTGTGTGTGCACTGTATTCCTGGTTGTTGTTGTCTTTCTGTATGACAGTGAAATGAAAACTGGGTGAGTAAGCAACAGATTGAGTCCTCATGTATTTTTGACGACGTTTAGCCCATTTAGCTGGAAAAAACTGATGCATGCTTATTGGTTCTTATGTAAGAGTCTCACAAATTATAAGAACTCAGTAGAGCTGCAGTGAAACTATCAGAAAAAACCAAAAAACTACAATTTAGACTGTTTTTGCAGAGAACTGAAAAACACATCAAACTGCAACTATCACTTCAACTTTAATGATTAAAACAGTCATGGCAAAAAAGAAAGTTCAATGTCTTTCATGTGCAGGGTACAAATTAAATGGATCTAAAAAGATTTAAATTTTGCAAGTATACAAACGATGACAGACTTTATAGGTCATTATTTAATGAAACAAAGATGAAGCTTAAAGTCTGTCCTTGCTGTTTTCATGGGAATTAAGAGTGAAAGTAGCAGCCAAGAGCTGCAGATCAAATGCATTGAATAAGTGATCCTATTCAATGTGATCACCTCTACAAAAGGAAGAGTTCTGGCAGCAAACACAACGCCAAACTGGGCAGACATCAGCAAGGAGCAAATGTGGCTGCTCATCAATCTGTAAGAGTTGTGAGGCCATTTCCCGTCGTCTGATGTCCGTTGTCGAGCACAGAGAAAGATTATTCAATCAATTTGCTGCAAAGTATTTCTCGTCCACTTCACTCTAAACGCTACTTGAAGAGTAAGAGACAAATAAAGAAATGGACAAAGCAGTGAAATTGCTAAAGGAAATTTTACACTATAGTGTTTAAAAATATTTTTCTTGTCACAGAATTCTGTGATTTATATTGTAACACTTAAATATTTCAGATTATGAAGTGGCTTATTTTAATTATGAATTATAATTTAAAAAAACAAGGAAACGATGTGGAAATTTTTTTTTTCCTTAAATCTAATACTTTGTAATAACTGGAGTCTTTTACATGCCTGAAGTTGAACTTTGACCCCTCTGGTTTACAGGATTGTTTTAAGTAGAGACGGGACTCAAAAATTTTAGTTATTGCTAAATTATTATAATTTACATATATTTTAATATTAGACATGTTGGCTCATTAACAAAGACAGATATTGTTTCTAACTGAAGCACAGCACGAAATAAATCTGATTAGTTGAGTTAAGCTTTTTAATGAGGTAACGTGTGCGTAATAAATTAATCTGAATTATAACCTTAGTTTTCATTTTGCAGCATTGCAGGTTTTCATGTGAAATGTTTAAACTCACAATGTTTTGCCAAGATGTTAGACTTTGATCATGTGGTGCATAAAATCATAAATGCATGTAATGATTAAATCTCAGCTCAGTTATGCTGACATTTTCTTAAACAATTTAATTCATAAAACCTTTATTTGCAACTTTAAAAATTTGAATTTAGTTTTGTTAAAATCTGTTTGGTTTCTCCCTCATGAATGCAATATTATAAATCAGGCTTTGCTTCATCAGGAGACCGGACTCTGATGTAATTGTGCAGTTAGACATGAAAACAGAATTAAGTAATTATGAGGTTTTTCCGTCAGTGAATGTTTTGCCTCCCAGGAAATATCAGTGGCTGCAGTTCCCCGTCGTTCTAAGGTGCCATTATTTTGGGTTTTAGTATCGAAATATATATTTTTTTATTAAAAATTATTTATCCGTCACAAGTTAAGATGTTTGACCTTGTCTTGAAATCAGATATGGACCTTGGAACGTGAAGGTATAGAATCGCTAGCTTAGAATCGCTACCACAAAATTCCCCCAAATTAAAATTCCAAAAATAAATTTGCTTAATGGAAAAAAAATTTTGGGGGGGAAAAACTAAAGTTTTTTTTGAAAGATGTTTTTTGGCTCTAGTGGCCTTAATTTGATAGTTGAAAGGAAAGTGGGTAACGAGAGAGGAGGAAGACATGTGGCAAAGGTTGCCAGGCTGGGAATTGAACCTGCGACAGCCGCGTCGAGGAACACGGCCTCCATATGTGGGTGTGCTCAACCGCTGCACCACCACAGCGCACCCCACTTAAGTTTTTACACAAAATGTTTCCTCTATGATGAGGTGGTTTTTCAACCAAATTGAAAAAGAATTATTTCATGAAAATAAAACATAAAAACTTTTTTTTCCAGGATGTTACCACTGATGAAACCCACAAAGAAGACGAGTGGAAGTAAAAAGATGCAAATGGTTTTTGGTTTATGTTGCTCCACCAGAGCTTTCACAGCATCACACAGTTCATAAAAAGTTATTCCAACTCGGCCTGTCACAATAACAGATTTTGCTGGGCGATAAATTGTCTCAAAAATTATTGCGATAAACGATAATATTGTTTGAAGACATTTTTTCATTGATTTAATGGAAATTACGTACTAATACATGCGATTTCCTGCCAAAGATAGATACACTTTACTTTCAAAAGACACTTAACACTGGGACTGATACACAAAATAAATAAAACAACTAAAAATAAAAATAAAATAGACTCTCAGTCTCCATTAACAATAAATGTACTTGAATAAAAACTGAACAACATGAAGCCAAAGT